GGAGGGAGAAGGAAACAGATCCAAGATGGAGGTGTTGGCAGGGCTCCTCCTGGAGCCTCCCTCCCTGTCTTGCATGTGGTCTTTTGTCTGTGGCTGTGCCTGGGGTCTCTGCCTGTGCCCAAATATCCTCTCACAAGGACAGCAGTCCTGGGATGACGGTCCTCCCTTGTCGCATCATTTTAACTACATTACCTCTTTAAAGACCCAGTATCTGTGGGGGGACGGGTTCCAGGACCCCAGTGGATACAAACATCTGCAACTGCTCAAGTTCCTTTTGTAGCAGGGCAGAGCACTGGCCTAGAACCTGTGCACATCTTCCCCTACACTTTTTTTTGTTGTTGTTGTTTTTGTGTGTTTTTGTTTTTTTATTGTTTTATTATTCATATGTGCATACAAGGCTTGGGTCATTTCTCCCCCCTGCCCCCACCCCCTTTCCCCTACACTTTAAATCACCTCTGCATTACTGTAACCCTAATGCCATGCAAATGCTTGCTATATAGTATCATTTTGGAAAGAATGACAAGAAAAAAAACTCTGACAAGTCCAGTAAAGAAACAGTTTGTCCCCCAAATTTTTGATCCACAGTTGGTGGCTCCATGGATGTGGAACCTTCAGTCAGGAGGAAGTGCTTGGGATGAAGACTTAATGGGGGGGCTTGGGGTACAATTCAGCCCATAATACGTGGGTACCATGTCCTCAGAGCCAAGAGCATTGACGAGAAATTGACAGTGCTGACCTAGCATGGTGATACATGCCTGTAGTCCTAGCTACTCGGGAATCTGAGGCAGGAGAAATCCCTTGAGCCTGGGAGTTCAGGGCCAGCCTGGGTCCCATCCTAAAACAAACCCAAAACAGTAGTGGTCTTTTAAGAGGTTTGCAGTCCTCACTCAGAGCACCTGCTCTTCTCAAAGTGAGAAACCAAAATGAGCTGGGCTCTGCTGGGCTCGTGCTGCCTCTGCGAGTGGTCTCGTCACCTAAGAGGGGGAGAGACTCACACCTTCAGACCCCCAAGGGATTGCCTTTGCTACAGCTAGCCATCGTTGATTCATTCATCAAGCATGGAGCTGAAGGCTAATGCCTGTAGGATCTCAGTTCAGGCCCTGGTCACGGGAGCCTCCTTTCGGAGTCCTTCCTGTCTCTATCCTGCCCTCCTCGGCACCCTCCTCGGCTCCAAATGCAGCTGTCCTGTTTCACCCTGGTCAAAAGCTTCTGGTGGCTCCTCACTTACTGAAGAAGAAACCCAACCTCTCATGTCCTCCATAGATCTCTGCCTTGTGCTCCAGCCTCCATGTCTTTACCCAGTGCCCTTCCTACCTCTCCTGCTGCAGCCCCATCTCAGACCCTGCTGGAAGTTCTTGTCCCCCTGAGGCCATCCTGCCCCCCTCAGTCCCGGCCAAGCCCCCTTCCTTTCATGCATCGCAGAGCCCCAAACACCCAGCTGCAAAATGAACCGTGCAGGGATGGCAGGAAGGTGAAGTCCCCGGGAACCGTCCTCAGCAGGCATTCCGAGGACAGGACGCTGTATCCTGTCCTTCACATGGTCCACCCAGCCTCACAAAGAGCCCTGGGCCGAGACTGAAGGACAGCCCTCACTGACCACTCCTCACACCTGCGCTGCTGCTTGCAGGGGCTAGCCTTTCATTTTCTATAGTGCACACATTTTTATATAAAAGTAATAATAAGCAGGGACTGGGGATATGCTCAGAGCCCTAGGTCCATCCCCAGCACCGGGTGCCCACACGCAAAAGAGCAGTTCTTTCTGCGGCTTCTGTCACGTGCTTCAGAAGCCAAGCACCTAGGTCATGGCATGAGTGTCCTGGGAGGCCCAGGGCCCTCCATGGAGCACGGTGTCATTACCACCCCAGAAAACCACCCCTCGACACAGCGCTTGTCTGCAGTGCTGCTGAAGTTTGATGCAGGCGACCCCCCCCACACACACACACACCGATATGGGGTGTGCTGGGCTCTGGGATTTCCCTTCTTAGACTGCAGTTACTTGTTTGTATGTCTTTCTCACTGACCAGGAGTTCCACAGGACATGCTTATGCTCATTTTTGTTGTTTCTCTCTTTTGTTTGCTTTGTTTTGTTTTTGTCTCTTCTATAAGTAGCTCAGGCTGGCCTGGAACTTGTGATCCTCCTGCTTCAGTCTCCTGAGTAGCTGGGATTATAGCCGTGCACTATCACACCTGGCTTATTGTTTTTCCTTTCATCTTTGTGCCTCTCACACATCACAGGAGAATTGACCTCTCTGTTCTCCATATTGGATTAGTGTAAATGCCTGTCTGTTACTAGAGACACCAGGTAAGAGGAAAACCAGCTACTTTTCCCTTCAGCTCCTCATAGACACTTCCCACCCAATGCAACCAGCTCTCCCACGGTCCCAGCACTACCTCAGAGTCCTGCAGCTCACACCTGGAGTGAACCAAAGGCCCCCATTTCAGACACCAGGACAAGCAGTGGGTCCCCAGGTGACCCCCACTGCATCTGGCTTGGCTGCACATTGGGGTGCCCCACTCAGGTTGGATCCTTTGCTGTGACCAACCAGCCAGAGGCACGTGGAGTGACATCCAGAAGCTTCTGTCCCATGGGGTTGGATGTGCCTCCCTCCCTGCACATGAATGCAGGCGCCATCCCACCTTGAGGACCTCCTCACACAGGCATGGCGGACTATTAACTCAGTCTCCAGCCCCCTCCCTTCCCCCGTCTCCAGGGCTGAGCGTTCCAAGCTTCTAATCATAGCTTGGCCATGCTGGTGACCAGCCCCAACCAGGGTCACCTCATTAAAACAGAAGATGCTTCTGTTGCCCAGGAAATCCCGAGGGATCCAGGGGCTCTGTGTCAGGAACCGAGGCCACAGATCAAACATTCGAACATCGCCTGACATCTCTAGTGCACAGAAGATCAAGAGGTTTAAGAGCTCTGTCAAGATCTAGGAGCAAAGACCAAATACGTTCTTTTTTTTGGGGGGGTGTACTTGGATTTGAACTCAGGGCTTCACACTTGTGAGGCAGGGACCCAATGTGCTTTATTATGTCACAGTCATTCTCTTTTTCTCTCTCTTTCATAGACTACAGAAGAAAATAAAGGAAAAAAAATGACCCCAATCTCACTGTTCAAAAGCCCCTGTTAACAATTTTTTTATTTTTTGCACTACTGGGGTTTGAACTCAGAGCTTTAGGCTTGCTAGGAAGGTGCTCTACCATTTGACTTCACTCCACCAGCAACAATTTTTAAATATATTGAGGCCAGGTATAGTGGTGCATCACTGTAATCCCAGCACTCCAGAGGCAGACGCTAGAGGATTGCAAGTTCAAGGTCAGCCTAGGCAAACACAGCCAGCACCCATCTCACAAGAACTATTAAAAATAAATATATGTAAGCTAAATAAATAATACACATGTATCTACAGAAAGAGTAACTCACGTATATGATGAGAAAATCCAGGTTATACTGAAATATGAAGACAAAAAGGGACGACCCCCCCGGCAAGTTCCTCTCCCCCAGAGTTGGCAGGAACTTCCTGCCGGCACCTCCAAGCTAAACGCCTACACCAAGAAGCCTGCACTCCGCGCCCCACGGGGCTGCGGGGCTCTGTGGCCTGTCATGCCCGCAGCTGGAGTGCACTTCAGTCCACGGAGAAATGTTCCTCGGCTCGTACCTCTGTCCAGGTTCCTGCCTCGCACAGCCACAGCCCCTGTCACCAACCCTGATGGACGTTTTACCTGGCTCGAGGGCAGACCCAGCCTCAGAAGGAGATTTGCTTCAGCAGTGGGGGTGTCTCCTTTTCAACCCCCTCGCAGCCAGACACCTCGCTGTACAACACTGGGGAGCCGCCCAGGCCTCTGGTCACGTCCTCCCTCTGCGACTGGCAGCCCACTCCCCAAAAAGGGCTCCAGTCTCCATCCAAGGTGGGGGGAGCCCACCCCATGTCCCACCGGCCCCCCCTCGCTCTGAGGAGCTCAAGGCCCCAGCGGTTGCCACTTGTGACCTGCTGTGGGGACTGTGAATACTTTCAGGTGGGACTGTCGTGTGTCCACCACCCCACCCCGCCCCACTCTCCACCTCCACTCCCAGCTGCAGCCTGGCTACTCCTCAGGTGGCCCTGGCTGCCCAAGGCCTGGACTTGCATTTCGTCTCCATCCTGAGCAGCTCCCCAGGCCTATGCTCCCCCCTTCAACCCACCCACATTTGCACATTAGCTGCTAGCCATCTGGTCGCAGTTCTGCTCCTCTCACCAGGCCTTCCAGATCCACTTAGCTGGGCCCATCCGTGTCCCTCTCATCCTCCCAACATTCCAGCAAGTTGAAGTCACTCCTTCCTTCCACCAAGGCCATCCCGGACAGCACACTCCACTCAGCCATCTGTTTATCAAATCCCTGTGTGGGAGAGACTGGGCCGAAGAAGTAGAGTTCCAATTTGGGGAAAATGGATACTGAGATGGCTAGGGAGAGAAAATGACATTGAATAAGGGGGGGGCATGGTGTTCACACCTGTAATCCCAGAACTGGGAGGTGAAGGCAAGAGGATCTTGAGTTCAAGGCCAGCCCATGATACATAGTGAGATCCTGTCGAGATAGAGGGGGGAGAGAGAGAATGAGTGAATGAATGAATATATGATGTAGGAAGAAGCAAAGGAGGCAGCTGTCTTGATGCAGCTTTGCTGTGAGGACCCTGGTCCTGGGGAGCCCAGTCAGCTTTCTCAGTGCCTTTGTTTATTCTGCACAGTAAGCAGTGGGTGGGGATCCCAGGCATGCTTATCAAACTGGCAACTAAGTGCCTGGACCAGTACTGCCTGACAAAGGTGAAGGTCAAGGGCTTAAGGTGAGTTCCTCTCCCCTTGCTCTCCCCTCAGGCCCCCAGCCCCGTTTGCTCTTAGCCCAGCCTCCACTACAGCTGCAGGACAGGCGCTGCGACCCACCCTTCAGCTGACATCTCTCCTGCCCAAGGGTTGACCTTCGCTTGTCTCCCTGTGGAACTGACCCCTGTCCTTGTCTTGCAGGAAGAGGAACAGGACTCAGACAGTGAGAGGGGCCCACCCCCAGCAGGACCAGAGGAAGAGGACGGTGAGTGGACCCACCTGGGCTGCGTGTCTACCTGTCCCCAAGGGACCAGTGCCATGCTTGCCCCCACCTTGAGCTGGGGGCTGGAGAACAGTGTCGGGGGTGCTGGGGAGAGGGGCCTGTGGGATGCTGCTCACCTCTCAATTGTCCATCTGTGAAATGAGTGTCGCCAGGAGGCCTCTTTTCAAATAAAAGCTCACTCTCCTCGGCCTGCTGCCTCTTATATACCCCCACCCCATTTCCTGAGAGGAAGGCCCTGGGCTTCTGCAGAGGAAAGTCCAAGCAGGGGGGCTGCTAACACCTGAGCCCTGAGCACGGGCATGCATGACCAGACTTCTGTGTCCCATCCCGGGAGGCTCAGGAGAGAGTAAGAACACAGAGGAAACCAACAGGTTCCAGCTACTCTGGACAGACAGACAGATAGAACAAAATGGTCAGGACACCTTGCTGATCTGTCACACTCTATTTTCTTCAAAAAGAAACTAGAGCAAAAAATAGCAAAATGTCAACACTTGTTAGATCTGTACAGCAAGTACGTGGGGTGCTTTTTACTTGCAGTATTTTGGGGTATGTTGGAAATACTTCCTTTAAAAAAAAAATGCAAGGCCGTGGCTGTGGCTTTAAGCCAGTTGCTGGCAGGGGCAGTGGAAAGGGGGCTCAGGAATGCAGTAATGGCTCCTGTAGGCCTGTGGCAGGGCTGGGGTCCAGAAGAGGCCCTCAAGGTCCAAGAGAGTGAGCAGGGCTGCCTGTTTCTATCAGTGTTGCCTCTGCATTGTGGTGGCTGCACCTCTGCAGCCAGGCCCAGGCGCAGGCAGCAGAGGGCGGGGACATCAGCCCCTGACCAGGGAGGACCTTGCTGTCCACTGTTGTTTCTCCCAGATCAGCTTCAAGTTAGGGACTCACAACAGCTCTGGCCCTCAGATCTGTCCTTATCAAATGGAGATGCCGGGATCCTGTTGGTAACTTGGGGACACAGAAGTGAAGCTGGAGGTCCCTCATTGCAGACAAGGGGACAGCCCCTGTAGGGTACCTTTCCTGAGATGGCAGGTGTCTTCACAGATGCATAGCCCCACACCCAGTCCCTGTGCGAGTCACTGAGCCCTGCCTCCTTATCTGAGCCAGATAGGCCCCCTCCCTGGTGGCCCCCCTCCATCTCTATTAAGGCAGAGGTAAGGAGGTTGTTGGCTTCAGCTGTCAGAAGGCAGCATGAGTGGACCCCCAGCCCCTCTGCAGCCAGCAGCTCAGCCTCCCAGGCTAATTGACTAGTGTCACTAAAATGACTTCCCTCAGCGGCTGGGTGCGTTCAGTGTGTTCACAGACTGGAAGAGGAAGCCTCCCCCACCCCCACTTCCCCAGGGGCCTCCTGCTGAGCCCTCCTGGTTGGCAAAATTGGATGTGCTGTGGTCACTTGCTCCACTGCGTGTGATTAAGTTAAAGCCTTTGTGAGTTGTCTGCTCCGTCTGGCTCAGAAAGCAAAGTTAATCAGACCTGTTTCGCCAGTTGGAACCCATTCTGGCACCAAGCTGGCAGATTTATTTTTTTATGTTTATTTTTCTAAAACATAGCAACACAGTAGTCTTAATGCTGAGGTCCGCTGTTTTTCTTCATCATTTGCCATTTCTGAGAGCTGCAGCTGCTCTCACCAGGTATGGGGGATACCTGAAGACCTGGGCTCCTCAATCAGAGCACAGTGGACTTGATTTGCTCAGAGTTGCTCAGATCCTCGTCCTCATTGTCCAAGCCAGGAGAAGCCCTGCTTGCAAGGACCCAGGAGGAGAGGAGCCTCCAGTGCTCTGTCCAGTAGTTTAGCTGTCCTTGTCTGCAGAGCCGTGACCAGCCATAAATTGCTTGTCATTCCATATATTTGCTCACTGGATGTTCTTGTCACCACTGTATCCCCAGCACCTAGAATGGCTGTAAATATTTGTGGAATGAGTGAAGAGCAAATCAGTCCCGAATGTTTTGGTTCTGAATTTATATCCAGAATTTTCTTCCTCTTGCCCCAGAGACAACACTAATCCCAGCACTTTTTCCTCCACTTGAAATATGAACCAGGCACCAGTGGTGCATGCCTGTAATCCTAGCTACTTAGGAGGCCGAGATCCAGAAGAGCCTGTTCAAAACCAGCCCAGGCAAATAGTTCAGGGGACCCCATCTCCAAAACAACCAGAGCAAATGGACTGGTGGCATGACTCAAGTGGTGGAACGGCTGCTTTGCATGCTCAGAGCCCTGAGTTCAAACCCCAGTCCCACCAAAAAAGCTGGTGGTAGAGAGGGCCTGGCTTGTCCTGCTGTGAGATGGATGTGCAGGCATCTGAGACTCTTGACATTGGAGGGGCAGCAGGAAATACTTCTCAAATCACAAAGAGAAAAGCAGACATCTGCACAATTGGCTCTGTTTCCCCTGTACAGTCCTTGTTGCTTTAATGCGTTAATGCTTTCTGATCTGGGAATCAGACCCTGTCCTCAGACTCTACCCAACACTGGCTGGGTAAGGGACACTAATGGCATTGCTTTCCACGCAGGTCCTCTCATCAGCTTTTCTGTGCTGCCTGCAGCCTTCTTGTCCCTCTGGTCATGCACCCAGCATGTCACGTGTCCTGGCTTTCTCTGTGCAGCTCCCCCCACCTCCCCTTTGCCCTTGTGCAACCTGCAGATCTGCCCTTCTGGTCTGGCACATGGGTCAGTTCCTATCCAGACATACCTGCTTCAACTCCTGCATCACTCGCAGGTCCCATTGGGGGCCAGATGTGTGTTACTAGAAATCTGAATTTCTAATAACCTGGGGGAGGGATGGAGAGAATGTGCTGATGACAGGACACCCCTGGACTCAGGGCCTGCCTCCCTAAGTCTGGGAGGAGGGTCAGGGTCCCTGGGGCCCAGCGCCTGGTCATGTGTTTCTGGAGATAAGCCTGCCTGGCACTGCTGCCTGCTTAGCACAGCAGCACTGGTGGGCCCCAGAGGAGGGAAGACCCGGCTTGCGGGGAACTGTTTGCCACGGGAGGCAGGCAGACAGCTCTTGGCTGTAGACCCAGCCTGGAAGGGAAGTGTCCTCTGTGGAAGGAGCCATAGGGAGGGTAGGTTCTCTCTGGTTGTTTTGTTCTCACCTGAGTGTCCCCGGGTTGATGGTGAGGTACAAGGAGCAACAGCACTTCATGGAAGGGTATGGGATAAGCCTGGGTGCTGGCGTTCAGATGAAAAGACAGTGTCTCTGAGTGTCTGAAGCTGGGGTCTGTGCCCACGCTGGCATGGGAGTCACCTGCCTGTCCTCGACAGGGGCTTTCTGATGGAGGTCAAAACTAACAGAAGGCAGGCTGGAGGTGTAGCTCAGTGGTAGAGCACTGAACCTAGCGTGTACAAGATGCTGAGTGTGAACCACAGCACGGCAACAAATTTTTTTAAAAAATGAAATGAGCAAAGGTAGCAAAAGGAAGTCGCCTGAGTTTGGGGAGGGACCGACCTGTACCCCCATGGCTCTCACTCGGTGTCCCCCACAGGAGAGGCCTTCAACTTCAAATACAGCCCCGGGCAGCTGAGGGGGGACCAGTACAGGAAAATGATGACCAAGGAAGAGCTGGAGGAGGAGCAGAGGTAGGCGGGTCTTCGGGGATGTGGGCGGGCCTCCCACAAGCCACACCCATACCGAGCAGTCTTCTCTTTGGGTTTGGGGGTTCTTTCTGTCCTGCTGATACTCAGCCAGGCTCAACTAAGAGAGAAGCTCCCTTGGGTGGGGACAGTGTGGTGGGAGGGGAGGACAGTGGGGCCCATTTCTGGCATTCCCCCCAACCCCTCTCTCCCCCACCCTAAAAAAGAATGAGATGCCAGGAACAGACCCTGCTGTTCACTTAGGCGTACAGTCCACGACAAAACCAATTTATCAGTTCAGGACAGACTGGGATTCTTGGTGCTCATCCATCTGGCAGCCGGCGGTGTCATTTTCTATCTGTTCTGCTCCACGGGACTCTAGACAGTTGCAGCTGTGCAGCTTCTGGTTTCTAGAATGGGGGCGTCTGCACTCCCCACGCCAGCAGCACCGCTCCCTCCCACCCCCTCCCCAGGGTACCCATCCTGCTTCCTTCTACTCCATCCTGCATGGTGGCTGGGAAGCAGGGGGACAGCCAGAGTTGGCGGCCAGGTTTGCGCTGTCCTCCGTGTGCACAGCGGCTGCCTAAGTGCAGTGTGGCCCGTTGGCCTTTGCTTAAAGAGAAATCTCAGTGGGAGCTGCACCATTCTCTGAGCCTGGCACCCGGTGGGGATGGTCCCCATGCACGAGCATAAACGAGCGTGAAAGGCTGGAACAGAATGCACAACTCAGTCACCTGCTTATGGCTACTCCTGAGTCACCGCATTCCTCTAATGTCACATCAGCTCTGCCTACAAGGTCCCCCTCCAAGCTCTGGCTTCGCAGAAAGGCTCCTCACCCAGGGGTGGAGGCGAGGCAGTGCAGGCACAGGCAGGGGACCCGACACCTTGGGTATGACATGGATTGCTGCCTTTGTATTTCAGGATTGAGCTGACCTCAGACCTCACTTCCCTGTAGCAAGTTCCCTAAGTCCTGAGCCTCAATATTCTTGCAAACCCTTTTGGTAAGGAGACTGACTTCTTAGACTAGTGGTGTTCCCCTCACTGTCTCCTAACACATGGTCTAAGCCTCCCCTCCTCCACCACCTTCATAACCCATTAATGCATTTCCGACCCATTCTTCTCCTGCATGAGGAATTCCAGGTACCACGGTCCCTTTCCCTGGAGCACAGGTTCCTGGAGGCCCAGTTAAGTCCCTTAAGGGCAGAATGGGCCAGTAAGTTGGGTGCTAGCGTCCCCCTTGTGAGGCTTGGGGAACCATCATCCCTGGGGGCTGCAAGGATGTAGATGTCACCCTGCAGCCTTGCTAGGTCGCCCATGTGGCTTTGTCCTCACCCTGAGAAGGTGAGGTTGGACATGGAGGCAGACACCCTGAGATTGGACTATGCTCTCAAGTTGCAGGACTGGCTTCAGGCCAAGGCCAGGGCCACCTCTGGCCCACGACCTGCGGCCGTTGAGTGCAGGGTCACTGGATATGGCTGTGTCCACTGTTTTCTGTGGTCAGTCAGTGGCGGCATCGCTGAGAAGGCCCACAGCCGCTGCAGTAGCATCGGCCTGGAGGAGAGGATGGAGAGGGCTTGCCACACTACAATCCTCAAAGGCCCTGTGGCAGGTTGTGATGGTTTCGTGGCCTCATTCTGTCTGCTCAGGATGAGCACTGTGTGTGAACCTGGGGAGGCCACTGGACTGCAGGCCAGGCCTCAGACTGGGGCCCCAAAACAGGGAAGGAAAAACCCCTCTGCCTCATTGTCAAAGACAGTAGACAGCACTTAGACTCCCCAAGTCTTGGGGGTCTCTAGACCACCTGTTCATACTTGGCTATTCTATGGGACAGAGACTGCTCAGGAGCTGCTTTCAGGGTGAGGAAGGGGGTCCCCAACTCCTCATCTGCACACTGCAGTCACCACTGTGTGCCCTGAATTCAGGAGGGGCTGGTGGAGGCCATGGGCAGGCTGAAGTTCATGTTCATCCCATTACCACCCCACTCAGCATGCTCCCTGTGCCTGCCACATCTGCTTGCTCCCTCCTGCTCTGCATGTGGTCCCCTGGGGGCCACACCTCTCCTGTCCCTCATGTGGTGATGCTTGGGGTTGCAGACACTGCTCAGCTTGGCCTGGTCTTCTCATCTTCAGCACTGTAGTCCTCTTGGGGGCTGGGAGAGCCGGGGGCTGAGTCCAGGGAACCACTCTTGAATTTCCCTCTGAAAAATAACCGTTGACACTGCAGGCCGGAGAGCAGGGCTCTCCCCTTACCACCTGTCAGATTCTCCCCATCACTTCGCTCCAGGGGAGGCACATCCCCTGGCACCGCAGTGGTTCCACCTCCCAGCATCCCTGGGAGGCCTGCTTGCAGTTTTCAGGGCATGGTGGTTAGGAGGCAGGAGACCTCAAATGTGCTCCTTAAAACTGCTCACGGACAAACTGTGCAGGGGCCAGAAAGTGGTCAGGTTTGGAAACCAAAGGCAGCTGCTACTTAAGTCCCTGCTGTCAGCGCTCGCCCGGAGTCCTCACTGGGTAGAGATTTGAGTGTTCTCCTGGCATTGGCTCTGCCTCTGGGGCATCCCTGGGCTCCTGCTGCAGCCTCCTCTCTAGGAGGTGCCACCTCCAGTTTAGTGAGGCTGGGACAGTTGGCTTGCAGGCTGGTGAGAGCTCCCAGGGCAAAAGGCCTCCCCTATGCTCTCCAGAGCTAGTGAAACTGGCAAGGCCATGCTGGCTTCATAGCTTGTCGCCTCCTCTTCATCAGTGCTTCTCACTTGCTGCTGGTTCCAGAGAGAAAGATGAATCCAGATTGGTGAGGTGGGCACTGACAAGTTGGGCAGAGCCTCTCTCCCCTGCTCCTGAAGGTCTTCAGGACCATGATTCTGGAAATGGGTATGACTCTAGAGGAGGCGTTTTGTATGGCCAAGTAGGGAAGGGGAGGAGTTGACAGAGGAACCCCAGCTGTTGGGCAGTTCTGGTTCTTCCCAAGATCCATCCCACAGACCAGCCAAGGTGAATGCCAAGCTCTGGTTGGAAGTGTGCATTGCCTCCAATCTCCAGCAGATGGCGCCCACGGCACAAGATCAGATCCTCTGCGTGTGCTCTATGGATTTTCCTTTTTTTTTCTTTTGGTTATGGGGTTTGAACTCAGGGACTGAGATGGGTTTTTTTGAGATAGGGTCTCGCAAACTATTTGCCCGAGGCTGGCTTCAAACTACAATCCTGATCTCTGCCTCCTGAGTAGCACCCCAGCTTGGATTTTCCTTCATAAAGGTGGCACAGCTTTGACACCTCGGGGGAAACACACATGGTAGGGTGCCAGTATCCCCACAGGAGACAAAACCAAGCCAGCAGAATCGGAAGTTATTATGGTAGTAGGAACTCTGTCAGCATAGCTACACAGCCAAAGATGGGTGAGCTGGACCACCCAGCTACTTCCCATGCCTCAGAAGTGGCCTGTGCCTGCCAAGGCTCAGGCTGGCCTTGCGCAGAGACTGTTCTGTTGCACGTGGTGAGAAGCCATTGTTGAGTCTCTGTCTCAGGTGGCTTCTGCAATTCCAAACGTTCTTCTACCTCCTCCCCGTTTCCCCTTGTCCTCTCCCACGGTGCCTGTAAGATGGATGGAGTAAAATGCATTCTCTTTTCTCCCTGTTTCTCTTTACAGAACCGAAGAATAATGAAGTTGTCCTTAGCTTCCTCCTGAAGGCTTTTTCCTTTTGGCATCTTAAAAGCTTGAGAGATAAAATGGAAACCCCCAGAGAGGAGCCCATTGGGCTGGGGCTGGGGCAGGGGGGTGATGTACCTACAGATCTGCTGAGGTGTAGCCCCCAGGTCAGGATTCCCCTTGGCTAGGAGTTTCCTTGGGAATGCCTTGACGCTGCCCTGTGTGGAGATACTCACTCCATTTATATGGTCACTTTCTGAGTTTGGGCTCAGACCCTGGACTTGGATTTTTCATACCACCCAAACTTACTCTTCACACATACTTCACACCCAAGATACACCAGTTTTAGCAGCCCCAACTTTTAAATCAGAGTACAGTTGATCCCAGTCCTCCTCCTTTTGCCCTCACCCAAGCCAAACCAGAAAACTTTGAGGAATGTCAGAAAAATGAGGTGGAGCCCAAATGTGCTCACTAGCTCCATCAGGAATAGCTGACCTTTTTCCCTTGGGGCACACTTTCTTTTTTTCCCTGCCACTGGCTCTCTTGCCAGGGATGAGAGGTGCCATATTGATTACTGGGCAGCAAAGTGCTATGCCAGCTACTGGCTTTACTGTTGCCTTTTAATCTGGAGGAGGTTTGGATCCAGCCCTCTTTTTATTAAGAGTACTTTTCACTGACATTCTTACCAGCTCAGCCAAATCTCCACTTTTGCTTTGCAAGAGCAATAATAATAATGTTAGCTTAAAATAGGTTTCCAGACTATGCGTTTTCCTAGAAGCCTTCCTAGATTAGTTACCAGCTGATCAGATCAGTCCCAGGTTAGTTTCTTGGAATTTTATATTTGACAATATTTATACTGTAACAAATTAGTTTGCAGTTCTTAGCTTTGTTGACTAAAACATTTTTTTCTAGAGCAGTAAGTTTCCAGAAGTACTTTACTTTCAATGGATGGCCAAAAAATGACAACTCCTAGGGCAAACATTCCCTGTGGCCTCCTCCCTAGGCCTCTACCTTGGATTCAAGGGTTAGGGAAGCGCAAATGGCAAAACAACAGCCATCCAGTCGATGCCTTCGACACAGACCCATGAATAGAAGATGCACTCGTCTGTTCTTATTAGCAGTAGTGATGTCCCTGTCCAGGCCGGAATCTCAGTGATATAAAGTAGTTATCTAAATGTAGTTATCTAGGCTTGTCTGGAAACTTTCTGGCCATGGCTTGTAGGCAGCAAGCCTCACATATGCCCGTTGGCTTGGCTCTCTCTAGCCAGCCTGTGTTCAATCCAATAAACAATTTTAAGTAGATGACCTCCGCCACTGTGTGATTTTTCTGTTTGCTTTGTTTCTCTTTTTTTTTAAATCTCTTTGGAAACCATTAAACTGTAAGCTCTTTTGTTTTGATGGCTTTTACTCCCAGCAGAGTAGGAAGTCATTTGCCGCCATATTGAAAATACACAACCACCAGAGCCATCAGAAACATGAAACAACTTGTGTTTGCTCAAGGAGACCGCCCCCCACAATGTACATCTGGCTGTGACTTCATCCAAGGTGCTCAGCACACCCTTTCTGTTCATGGTACCCCCTTTTTCATGAGGAGTTCCAATGTATTTACTGATTTATTTGGGGTTTGAATTCAGGCAGGGCCTTGAGCTTGCTAAGCAAATGCTCTACTACTTGAGCCACATTCCCAGGGCACAGTACGTCTGTCTTTATGCAGTAGGGTACAAGGTACATACCATAGGCCACTTTTTCCCCAGACACAGAAACTGACGATAGACCTACCTTTCTCAGACACAGGAGGCTGGCAGTTGATATTTCAGTATTTCAACTTCCAGATGCCACTGTGAGCAGAAAACCAACTGCTTGCTGGGTGGAATATTTGGGGCTCAGGAGGGTAGGGCTTATAGCAAAGGGAATATGCTATAAGGAACAGAGGCCCTGATGTTGAGAGCACTCCTCCAGGCAGTGTTGGGGATGCTGGTGGCCGGCAACTTGACTAAAGCCTGCAAAGTTCTTGTGGCCCGTAATGTGGGTATGGCAGACCTGGCTCCCAAGGGGGCAGAGTTCCAGCCTGCAGTGCAGGATGGCATACATTCTGTCAGGGTGCCAGGTGGTGTGGTGTGGAGTGCAGGGACTGCAGAAGAAAGAAACCAGAATAGTGAGTCAGCCAGGATGCAGAGGCCAGCCTGTTGATGGGCTGTGGATACCCTGAGCGTCCACAAACAGAACCATACTGACGCCTCGCTTCTACTGGCCTCCCCCACCCTTGATGTTTATCATGGGAGTTGTCCTGTGCTGGTCAGATGGTGTGGCCCAGCCTCATAAAAATAACAGGGCGAGACTCATACCACAGAACCATGTGTAGTAAGCGCAGGCCAATCTTCCTGTGTTTCCTGGTGAAAGGGCAAGGCCACACCACCACCTGCCATAGGACACCTGTGCGAATTAGAAAAGGTACACTTTCTCTGGGCAGGGAAATCCCACAGGTTGGATTTCAGCCTACCCATCTCCTTTGCCACACACTCTTGCCTATACTTCTGTCTGCCCCAATATCTTACACTGCCTCTTCTTCCCAATGTTTTTTCTTCCTCTACTTTTGGCTTATCCCTGTAAACTGAAGCTGTTTCTGACCTGGTTCTTCACAGGATCTCAAGGCACTGAATGGCACATGCCCTCCTCGTCCCACTGTGAGATGCACAGCTCACAACTGAGGCATGATGAAACTGCCACAGTAAACCTGAGAGCTAGAACCCCAGGGCTGAGTGTGTCAGGCAAACCAGCTCCTACATTTTAAGTGGGGTTTGTTTTATTTTAGTTTTCCTCTTGTTCTGAAACACAAAGGCGGTAACAAATGAGAGTGGAGAGTCCCTACCTGGCTGATAGACACCCATGTCTCTCTCGCCCCTAGGCTGGAAGCGTCTTTTTCCTCTTATCCTTTCTTCTCAACAGAGTGCAGAAGGAACAGCTGGCTGCCATCTTCAAGCTCATGAAGGACAACAAGGAGACGTTTGGCGAGATGTCCGACGGTGACATGCAGGAACAGCTCCGGCTCTATGACATGTAGGCCTGTCACCTAGCAAGACGTGACACAGGACATCCCCCTGCCCTGTCAGTCCTCTGTTATGACCCTTGACCTATGCACTTGTGATTTCCAGACTTTTGTAGACCTAACTTTACCTTCTCGACTTAGATGCAGACCTATATTCTATCTGACTTGTGCCGTTCTTGCAAGAGTTGGATCACTGTAGAGGAACCAACATTGTGCTTCTTAGAGGAGGAAGTGCCTGACAGCGCTGGCTTTTGCCTGCTGGCAAGGTTCCAGCTGTGACGTGCCCTGTGCATGGATTCTGATCCAGTCCTATTTTCCCTGCAGGGCCAGGGTAGGTGTTCCTGGAGGGCTGACTTCAGGGCTTGGTGCTGGGCCCCAGCACGTGGACAGAGTCGAGGGGTGCTAGGGGAAGATCAGTAGCAGTTCCTGCTGCCGGTGTGTCTAGTTACTCTCATTCTGCCTTAGAAGGGTTTCTGGAAGCGTCTGTCCTAGTAGGGGAGCAAGCAGCAGGGGAGCATGCTTTTAGGAAAAGACCTAATTCAAAGGCTCACCTTCCACCTCGGGACAGAACGGTGGTGTCAGAGTTAATATCCCCCAAGCACTGAAGCAGATGCTTCCTTTAAAGGTAATTAAGACTAGAGTACATATGATGCCCTCCATCTACGCCAGACACTATGGGAATAAAATGCACACGGGGCTGGGGTGTAGTTCAGTGGTAGAGCACACACCTAGCATGCGTGAGGCCCTGGATTCCATCCCCAACACTGGAATAAAACAAACACACAGAAAACGATATAATCCATAGCTTTAGGGAGATTAAAGTCCTTTGGAGAAGACAGGCCTGTATGCAGAGAAAGAAAGAGAACCTTGCAAGAAAGCTGTAGGGCAGGGACGCCTCAGTTCTGAGTAGCTGGGTGATGATTAGGGGGGGATAGGGAGAAAGAATGACTGGCTCCTTCATGCCCACAGCTCCTGCTTCTCATGGCCCCACTGGGGAAAATTCAGTTCCCGAGCAAACTGGGCTGAGGAGGGCATGCAAAGGAGAGAAACTATGAAAGTTCTTAGATTTTTATTTGCTGATAGAAAACCGCATCCGCACACTGAATTAAAGAGGCAGTGGCATTTTCACACAAAACTCAGTAACCGTGGAGGGTGCAGTTCACTTCTTTCCATCACCACTGCATGCTTGAAAATTTGAGGGACCTCACTTCTGTCTGCAGTTGTTAACTCCAACAGCACATGCTCTGTGTCTGCCATAATGTCACAAATGTGTTCTCTTTTCAAATTAGCTTTGTCAATGCTTTTTTCTTTTTAAAGAAATACTTTTTTTTTTGTGACTGCTTTTTAAAAAATATTATGATTTGAGAACTATTTGTTCCTTTCCCGGGTCCCAGGGAACTCTGATGTCCCCAGACGCAGGTGAGCAGGCAAGGGTGAAGACTCTGTCTTCCTTCTCTGTCCCAAGACCATGCTGTCTATCTGATCTCTTTTTCCTCTCCTCCCTCCCTGGACCCTCCTTTTCTGATTATACCAAACTAGAATGACTCATGAGCACTGGAGTCAAAATCCTCATTGCTGTGGGGGAAAAAAGAACTTTTGTAAACTTGTAGCAGCTAAGATATTCCAACTGCAGCGAACAGGAAACTCCACCCAACTGGCTTCAACAAGAGAAGTTCAAAGGAAGAGTGGCTGTAGGCTCATGATGGTCAGGGCCAAGCTGCAATTTTCTTGGCTCAGTCTTCCTCCCTTTGTGGGCTTTTGCTGTAAACTGGCTGTCCTTGTGGTGCAAGATGGCTGCAGGAGTTCAGGTGTCACATCCAGAAGCAGGAAAAGGCCATCTGTTGCTTGTGTCTCTAGGAAATGGTCCCGATATCCCACCCTACCTCCCATCAGGTCCCAAGTGACCACAGTATGTCATGTGCCCATGCTTCCACAATCATGACCAAGGAGACTCCGTGGTTGGTTGTAATACCTGGAACTCGGAGTGGGCCAAGCTCCTACCGCAAATTCCTGCAACCCCAGTCAAAGAAACTCCACATGGAATACAGCTGTCCTGTGCCATAGTTGAGTCCCACTTCTTGGAGTTCCTTTAGTTTCTACTTGTTGTGGCATCTAGGTTCATGAACAACCACTAGTTCAATCACACATGGTCAGCGCACTTAGATTCCACCGGCTACATCCCAATAACACCCTACATTCAAAGAGAGTCTAATAAACTTTGTGATAAAAAGGAGAAAATAGCTATGAGTCTGAAAGGCCAGTGGGATAGAAATGCTCAGTGTCACACGAGGTTGAGTACTTGGGAGTCTATCCAGGAGGTTTACTTTGGGACAATTTCTTTTGTTGTACCATAAAAACCTTATTCCTTCCTGTCACATGTAGGAATCAAACTGTAAATTCCAGATGGCAAAAGGACCTTACCAGGTGCTCTGACTGCTTGAGGATCCCACTCCCTCTTAGAAGTGGGACTTATGTCAAGGGCTGGAGGCAGGGTTCAAGTGATAGAACGCTTGTATTGCAAGCAAAAAGTCCTGAGTTCAAAGCCTAGTCCTACCTCCCCCCCAAAAAGGACTAATACCTACGGACGCCATCTTTTCTCATGTTCAACATGATCTTTTTAAATGAAAAACTTACCGCTCTGTTCATATTTATGAAGTCGGGGTGGGATAAAGGACTTCCCCAGATTTAAGTGTGTGATAAGGCACTTTTTCATTATCTAGAGAATACTTTCTTAGTTTCTATGATCAAAACCATGTAGATAAGATCTTATGTGTTTATACAGAGTTATGCGTGTACAAATGGGAAGAAATTAAGTTTAATGTTTGTAGGTCAATATGGCTACTAATCTCTACACAGTGCCAACTCAACACAGTAAACTGTTGACAGCACAGCTAAAATTTCCAAAAATTCAAATTATATACACATATATTTATATAAAAAGACCAATAGCAGCAGTATGTCAGGCATCAAGAGATTCTGCAGTCATCAGAACAAACTTACTCTCAGTACATGCTACTGAAAAATTGTTAAAAAGAAAAAGAAAAGAAACTCCAGGACCTCCTGCACTTACAGTTTGACAAAGCCCAAGTTTATAATCCCACCCAGCTCTCTGTGGGGGAAGGAGCACAAGACAACCTATAAGCATGTCTAGGTCCACACACAGCAGCCTCATTCTTGTGGACTCTGACACTGCTAAAGACCAGCACATCTGTTGGGTCCAGGGCGACAGTCATCCACTAGGCCCTGTCAGCCTATCTGGGATCCCATGATCACTAACCCAAGCCCTGTCTCCTCCCTAGTTTCCCCTGCAGGAGAGGTGGATGGGGAGATCTATTCGTTTTAAGCAGGTGGACGCTTTTTTCTTTCTCCTCTTCTCACAGCCTGGAGGGAGAGGTCTTTTAGGAGAGGGGTAGGGAACGGGACAGCCTTAGCTGGGTCTGCATCATAGCTCCCAGTTGTAAATAATTTGAGGCCCTCTTGGTGAGGCATAGTGCTGGGTCCCTGGCAATGGCCAGGTCTGGAAAATTCCCTTTGTCAGTTTTGGGGTTCTCTGCCCCCCACTGAATAGTCTACCACCACCCCTACCCTTTCTTTATCCTTTCAGCAGCCCATATACAACTTCTCCAGAAATACAAGTCTATTCAGCCATTCCCTCTCGGATGGAATCTTTCTTGTTCTCTGGCTTTTGCTAATTCAAATAAATGCCACTAGGAACTCTGCACACATGTATTTTCAGAGTGGATTCCTAGAAGTATTTTGCTAGGTCAAAAGTATGTACGTGCACACTCCACAGCACTGGAGCCAGTTTCTGCACCGTCCTTAACAGTTTGTTGTCAAACTTTTTTTTTTTGGTGGTACTGGAGTTTAACTCAGGACTTTGTGCTTGCTAGGCAGGCGCTCTTACCACTTAAGCCAAAGCTCCAGTCCAAACTTTTGGATTTTTGCCAATCTGATGGTTAAAGGTGTGTGTGTGGTACGTGGTGTGCAGTGGTGAGGGGTTCACTTAATTCGTGTTCTTCCTACATGAAAAAGGATAAGCACTGATCCAAATATACTCCCCCCCCATACCCCGTTTTCTCCTGACCATTTAGGTTTAGCTTGTGCTCAACCAACAGCATTTACAATCATCATTGCAGCACCTTGGATCCCAGCACCCATCATTCTCCAGTCCTGACTCACATAACCTAGGTAACGCTTAAATCCTACTAAGCTCAGGAACCTTAGTGAAAGCCAAAATTCTAACTTGAAGCCAAAACCTCGCCACACCACAACTTTACCCGCGCTTTGGTGAAACCGCCCGTATTATATACCAAAACGAACCTGCCTAGGAAAGTCCACCCACCAGAGGATTCGGCCAATCAGAGCTATGGCGCCGGAATCCTTCCGTGGCTCTTCAGTGGTTCCAGTCCCTGCCAATCTTTCCGAAGGCGAGGACCTCGACGACCATTGGATGCCGCCTCCTTCCATCACCCTTGTTTGAGGGTGGAAGGTCCCGTGGGTCACGCCCAAGGTCTGGTTTCCTCAGTGATTGACAAGGCCCATCATCCAATGAGAAGCGAGGCTCGCAGGACGCACACACCTCACTCCGCTGCTGGGAAGCTGCCGCACGTGTGGTCTGGCTGTACCTGAACCCACTTAGTCACCTGGGTCTCATCCTGTCACCAGCAGATGTAGCCTAACCCAGCCTAGTGGCCAGCCCTGCCACGCCGAGTAAGTCGCGCCTGCACGAATACCGAGTGGCGTCAGGGTGTTGGCCTGGGGCCCACTCCTAGCGCCTGTCCTGCGGAGGACCAGGGCCCTGGCCTGCACTGTTACTGGACCCGCACACTATGGGGAGGAGGTGTACGAAAGGGAGGAGGCCTCCGCCTGTCCCTTGAATACCGCGTTAGCGATGGCGCAAAAAATTTTAGGACACATGGAAGTGAGACCAAGAAAGTTCATTAGAAAAACAAAGCAAATGGCCAGTTCCGCTTCTTAGCTTCTCTGGAAGATCGGTGGAAGGCAACCGGGGCAAATAGTTCTGAGACCCTACCTCGAAAAAAACCCATCATTTAAAAGGGCTGGTGGAGTGGCTCAAGGTGTAGGCCCGGAGTTCAAGCCCCAGCACTACAGAAAAAAAGAAGAAAATGAAAGAAGCATTATACTGGATTGTTGTCCCGGGCTGGTGTCCTGGCGTAGTCACGAGGAGTTCAGAGTTAAGCAAGCGCAAAGTTTATGGGAAGGACAGCAAAGCACCCTGACTGGTGGGACTTAGTTAAAGAGTTAAGCCAAATAATGGCTGAAGTCTAGAGACTAACTGGCTTAGGTACAACTATATTACTTTGAAGCTGTATCTAATTAACTTTTTGTTAAACCCGATCATCTAGCTGCCCCGCCCTCCCATCCTTACCGGCCTGGACACTCCAAGAGGTTCTTCTTAGTTCATCCTGTCCTTGGGACCTGCCATATACATTTTAGAACTACCGCCGTTATTTTGGTGAGAACACGCCCCCCCCCCCCCCCCCCCCCGTGCTATTCTGGGAAAGTTTGCTGTATCACTTTCCCTAAGGGGTCTATTTTCCATCTCTTTAGATGTGGTCTTTAGAAATGTTTCCTTGTCTCCCTTGTCTGGGAGAACGTTACTTTTGCCATCTGGTTCCTTTACATTTCCAGGGTCATTTCGGCCTTTTATTCCTAGAGCCATTTCTGCCGCTTATTCCCCCTCACGGTTGCTCCTCTCCCAGTAGTACACAGCCCAGACGTGGGTGCAGGCACGCAATAACAGGTGCAATAAGTGCTCTAACCTCAGGGGTACCTATGGTGGAAATAAGGGAGTTGGTTCAAGTTTACCTTAGAAGAGTGCTCCCCTTTGTTCTGACACCTGGAATAATGAGTTGCTTTTGCTGCTACACTGTCTTACCAATTGGACCAAAGATTTCAAGGTTGGCCCGCATTAAATGTGGGTCACTGTAAGTAGATGTTTCAGTATCCCTTTAAACAAAGGATGGGTCCTCCAGATACTTCCTTTAGGACAGGTGTCCACCCTTACCATATTTTCCTTTTGCACAAAGGAGTAATTTTCCCAAGAGTTCTTTCCCAGAATAAGTGTCTTTCTTTAAGATATCCTTGCTCAGGCCTCAAAGCACACTCATTATTTTAGAGCTGCTCTTTTTCCCTTTTTCTTTTTCAGTAATTGTTGCAGTTTGTTGAGGGATGTAAGGCTTAAAGCAAAGAAAGCAGTATCTTTATATTTTTAATTCAACTATTCATTAGTAGAATACTTATTTGTAAATTTCTGGCTGCTATTTCTCATGCCTCAATTTCCCTGATCTAGACTGCCTCAGCATGAGGGTTTCCTGAGTGCCACAAGCCATCCTAATACATGCTGCTAGGCCACTAACCCGAAAAGGAATTGGGTCAGTCCCAGCTCCTGAAGACCCGACACCCCCATTCTCGCCTTGGAGCAGACCCGGGGGCTCAGGCCAGGGTCCTGCAGCTGAATCCAGTGACCACACCCAGCCCTCGCTTCTCTTTCACATCCCACGTTATCCAGATCTGTGCAGAAATCTAGAAGATCCTGCACACAGCCACTTTCCCTCCGTGGTGCACTTGGTTTGGGGCCACTGTCAGGAAGGTGTGAGGCAGACGCATGCCTGGCCTTCCCTGGCCTTTCCTGCCCTTCCATCACCTTTGCACATTATACTCCAGGCTCTTCAGCTGGGTTTGCCAGAGCAGCTCTACCCAGTGTGAAATCAACACACTCATCTCTTGCCTGAGCGGTCACATTATTTCCATCTCCCATCCAAGTCTGGCCAACACCCCTAGGGGCCTCTTGGGACTCCACACCCTAGGACAGGCCCCACCAACCTGGAATCTTTTGAGTTCTCTAGGGTCACTGAACGAGATTAAATAACTCAGTCTGCAATCGGTGTCTTTGAAAATCTCATTTTCTCCCTCCTTTAAGTCCTTTCATTACTTTTTGTGGCATTCTCCATAAATGGGACAGTTTATACTGACAGGCTGTCAGGCATTTAATGATTTTTATATTCACCTCAGAACTGTTGGGCGGCGTCTGGATCTCACACTCGGCTTCAATGATGCAGCAAGTTCAGTTTCATGAAAGGAAGCAGCTGGCAGGGGGAGTTAAATTAAGAAAATTGTTCCAGGAAGAAAAGATTCCATGCGAGAAATGGGAGAGGGCAAAACACATAGGATTCAAATTTGAACATTGAGGGGTGTGAATTGGCCCTTGAATACTTTCAGACATTAATTAAGTCAGACATTAATCATGCCAAGCTCTATGCCAAATGATGTAACACACAACAAACTAGACTTGGTTTGTAATTTCCAGGCAAGGTGAGATGAGGGTTCTCTAAAGTTTTGGTGTTTGTGCTAAGTGTAGAGCTCCATTCTGTGTGCCTTACAGATATTCTCTCATTTGTCTTCACAGCAACCTTACAAAGGAGAAATCATTCTTCTTTTACAGCAGAAGAAAACAAGATTTAAAAAATATTGAAGATGATCCACAGCAAAGAGCCGGGGGTGGTGGTCCACGTAATCCCAGCTACTTGGGAGGGGAGGCAGGAGGATCAAAAGTTCCAGGCCAGCCTGGACAACACAGCGAGACCCTATCTCAAAGACAAACAAGAAAACAAATGAAAAGAGCTGGGATGTAGCTCAAGTGGTAGAGCCCTTCCTTATCTAGCAAGTGTAAAGCCAGGTGCAATCCCCAGTACAAAGGAAAAAAAAGGCAAAGAATTTAAGTGAACATTTGTCCAAAGAAGAAATACAAATGGCCTGTAAATGGAAAGATTCTTACCGTGTAAACCAAATGTCAACCAGAACCACAGCAATGAGATGCCAGTTCACATCCCCAGGATGGGTATAATAAAAAAGACAAAATAAGACATGTTGGTTATGTAGAGAAACTGGAAGCCTCCCTCACTCTGGATGGGAATGTAAAGAGGTGCCACTAAGTTGGAAAACAGGCCACTTCTCCAAAGTGACAGAGCAGTCCCACTCTTAGGTGTGTAACCAAGTGAAAACATATGTCCCCACAGAAACATGTACAGAACTGATCATACCAAAGCCAAGTGTCCATCAGCTATGGAACGGATAAACGAAATGTGACGTATCCATGCAATGGAATATTAGTCAATAGTCAAATGGATGAGGGAGCGATTCATTCTCCAGTGTGGATGGATCTTAAAGCACTATGCAAGGGAAAAGTCAGACACGAAGATCACATATTGTATGGGTCCATTTACTGTGTAGAAATATTGGAACAGGCAGATCTATGGAGACCCAAAGCAGATTGGGGTGAAGTCACTGCTAATGGGGACAGGGGTTTGGGGGGAGTGATGAAAATGTTCTAAAACTGATTTTGGTGATGTTCACACTATTCTGAATATACCAAAAGCCATTGAATTGCACACTTCAAGCAAACAAATTATGATGTGATGTATATTTCAATGAACTGTGTGTACATTTTCTTTTTTTGCAGTACTGGTGTTTGAACTCAGGGCCTACACCTTGAGCCACTCCACCAGCCCTTTTGTGTGATGAGTTTTTTTCCAGGATAGGGTTTCCTGAACTATTTGCCCAGGTTGGCTTCAAACTGAGATCCTCCTGATCAGCTCGGATTTCAGGCGTGAGTCACTGGCACCCAGTCATGTTTTTTGGAGTATTGAAAAGATGGTATGCCATTGCAGTGAAAATGTAGTTTGACAGACTCCTCTCTCTTTTTTTGTGGTCCTGGGGAGGGAACCCAGGGCCTTGGCACTCTAGAGCTACACCCCAGCTCCCTTTTGGTCTTTTGAGAAGAGGTTTTTGAACTCTGTAATCAGGAGAGAAAAGGAAGCACGCTTTGAGCAGGTAGGGAGAACAGCTGGTGCTCATCGTGTGCTGGCTCTGGCTTTGGAACAGCAAGTTTATGTCCTATGGACTATAGTGCCTGTGAGACAGGTGGCATGTGGTAGGTGGGGTCCCCCTGTGTGAAGGTCTGTGGGAGTTTGCCAGCCACAGGGTGAGGAGAGACAGGAGCTGGACCTGGCCCAGGCGGAAAGGGGCTATAAAATAGTCTCGATACAGGCCACAGCAGACCCTGTGGGTGAGGCAGACCAAATAAAGGAAAGCTCGTGACTCATAGAAACATATTACATCTTAGATTAACGATGCTCGGGAACCGCCCTCACCACTGATTACTGGATGGGAATCACCTGGTTCCTCCCTTCCCCTAGATTAGTAAATGTTCAAAGCACCTGGAGGGCAGAAGCACGATGTCTCTGCCTGCATCTTCCACCCGCGCCCACCATGCTCTCTTGCAATTCCCTAACTCTTAACGAACTCCATTTGCACCCACATGTCTTGCCATGGAGTCTTCCCCACTGGACACAAGGAATTTGGAAGTCTTCTGATCACAGGCATACCTTAACATGAGGACTTTGAACTGCTCTCCCCAGTGAGGCAGGAGGCAGCCCCTCCTCTAAGACCTGACAGTGGAGAGCTTTTTTAGTCTTTGTGGCACTAAGGATGGAATCTAGGGTCTCACACATGCTAGGCAAACACTGTATTCATACCCCTAGTCCTTTCGTTGGTATTTTGTTTTTGAGAAAACTCTGCCTGGGGTAGCCTCAAATTCCCGATCCTCCTGCCTCTACTAGCTCCCAAGTAGGTGAAGTTACAGGCCTGTGCCACCACACCCAGGTATTTGTTTGTTTTTAATTCATTTCTCCAAGTCTCATTCTAAAATCCATTTCGTAGGACCACTCACTCTTGGTACCAACTGCCTGAGCCTCAGAAAGAGGCCCTGAGGATGGAGGGTGTGCGCAAGAGCTTTGTTGGGGTGGGCACTCAGTAATGACTCTTGCAAAGGTATGAGACCAGAATACGCCACTCCAAAATAGGCCACTGTGGCATAAAAGTTAGAAGCAGCAGCGCGTGCAGGAATAGCTCTCTGTACACCCCCCTTCTGATATATCACAGGATATTCAGGATATTCTCCTTCCTAGAGACTACTCCAGACTCCTATCAGCCCAGAGATGTTACTGGAGGAACCTGCAGACAAACCTGACTCCATCAGTGTCCTCCATCATCTCCGCCTCCCAAGTTTCCTGGCCTAGGAAGTCTAAAATCCCTTTGCTTTGCCCTACCATGGATCTACAGATTTACTGATCAGTTCTAGGCCACCAGTCTGAGTTATTTTTTGTTGAGGTTTCTCCTGTGTGATGTGCACCACACGTGTTTATAAACTGTTCTTTTTCTCTTGCTAATCTGTCTTTTTGTGAAAGAGTACCAGCTGAAAACCTGAGATGGGTCGAGGTCAAGTTTTTGCCTCTCCTACACAAGGAAGTGGGAGAGCAGAATTGGCCAGAGGCAAAAGTTGAGCTGTCTTGGAATATTTTATTTTTTTAGTTTATCTTACTGGGAATTGAACCCAGAGCCTGACTTTCTAGGCAAGTGCTGAACCACTTGAGCCACAGCCACAGCCATTACTTGGCAAATTTTAATTTGTGAAGATGTAAATTATTGTGATTTGATGATCATTGGGGGATTTTAAGCCATAAACTCATTCTACTTATTGTTCTAGTTTGGGAAACAGGGTGAGAGTGGGGGTGCTGAATGGATGAGCCCTGACTACAGGCAAATATGGAGAAACTTTAAGGCTGGGCGTGCTTTCTAAACGTTTCCTTAGGGATTTTTAATTTTCTTTACTACTGTTTAATGTGAATGGTAGGGTCTGTAGTAGATTACTAGGAATTGCTTTAAAACTTTTATATGGAAAGCCAGGCAGGGTGGCCCATGCCTGTATCTCAACACTAAGGAGGCTAAGGCAGGAGGATGGTAGGTTTGAGGCCAACCTGGGCTACATCGTGAAACCCAGTCTCAAACAAAACCCCAAAACCAAACAACAAAACAAACCCAAAACCAGGGTTGAGAGGTGGAACCATTAAGAAGAGGTTGGGGCTCTTGGCTGCATGTACTTTGAGGGTGAAGCCCATCCTCAGACAGTTGACATTCCAGAGAACATGCAACCCCTGAAGGGTCACACTGATTTCGAAGAGCCCCGGGGGAACCCTGCACGGGAATTTCAACCACATCAATGTGGAGCTCAGCCTGCTGGGGAAGAAGAAAACGAGGCTCCAGGTTGACAAATGGTGGGAAAACAGAAAGGAACTGGCCACTGTCTGTACTATCTGTAGTCATGATCAAGGGTGTTACACTGGGCTTCCATTACAAGATGAGGTCTGTGTATGCTTACTTCTCCATCAATGTCATTATTCAGGAGAATGGGTCTCTTGTTGAAATCAGAAACTTCCTGGGTGAGAAATATATCCGAAAAGTTCGTATGAGGACAGGTGTTGCTTGTTTGGTATCTTAAGCCCAGAGAGATGAGGTAATCCTCGAAAGAAATGATACTGAACTTGTTTCAAATTCAGCTGCTTTGATTCAGCAAGCCACAGCAGTTAAAAACAAGGGTATCAGAAAGTTTTTGGACGGCATCTATGTTTCAGAAAAAGGAACAGCTCAGAGGCTGACGAGTGAGAGCTAAGCTAACCCAGCTACAGAAATACCATCTGGATTGTGATGGCAATGTGTGATACTTTAGTGATGCAATAAAAGACTTCTATTAGAGAAAGAGAGAGAGAGAGAGTGGGTCATGAGCCTCTGCCTTGGCCAATGGGTTAATACCACATGGAAGGGGGTGGTGGTTGTCGCTGGAGAGGGTTCCTGAAAAATTGGCCCCCATCCTTCTCATGTTCACAGGCTCTCTCACCACACCATGCTTCCTGCCCTGTTAGGCAGCAAGAAGGCCCTCACTAGCTGTGGCCCTTCAATCATCAACTTCCAGCCCCTTGACCTTTGACCCAAACACATTTGTATTGCTTATAAACCACCCAGCCTGTGATACTCTGTTACAGCAACACAAAACAGCCTAAAACAATGCCACTTTACCTGTGAGCGCTGTGGGTGCATGCCCTGAGAGCAGAACATACTCTCAAATAACTGTGAGTAATGGACAATATTGGAAGTTGACATTCAGACAGTTCTGCTATTTAATCTGTGATGATACTTTGCCACTTGTCATTTCTTTAAAAAAAAAAAAGAAGAAAAGAAAAGAGAAGAAAATCAGTTCCAGGAGCCAAGCAGGATCAAGCATTGTATTTGGTTCTCTTGTGTCTTTAATCTCACTTAATCTGGAGTGGCCCGCAGTCTTTGCTTTTGTGACCTTGACATTTTTGAAGAGTACAGTCAGTCGCTTAGTTTTGGAAGCTTTCTGGCATAACAAGATGTTCCACACTCATCTGTGCATTTCCTGTTCCTGGTCCCCATGGCCATTTCTCCAGAGATCTCTGGTTCCCTTCTGCTGGCAATACTAGGAATGGTGCTCAGAGATGAGACTGAGGCTGGCAGGCATGTACGTTGTGAGGATGAGATGTGGGCAGATGGGCAGGGGCCATCTGAGCATCCTGGGACCACACTGCACTGGAGCCCCCTCATTCCAGGGTCAGTTCTTCTTTCTTATTTATTTATTTATTTGGTGCTGGGGCTTAAACTCAGGGTCTTCACCTTG